TCTGCAAAGCAACTACCCCACCTCTCCTCCATCCACTGGACCCACTTGTCATCTTACTCATCTTTTTTTTTTTTTCATTTATTTTTATTAGTTGGAGGCTAATTACTTTACAATATTGTAGAGGTTTTTGTCATACATTGACATGAATCAGCCATGGATTTACATATATTCCCCATCCTGATCCCTACTGCCACCTCCCTCTCTACCCGATCCCTCTGGGTCTTCCCAGTGCACCAGGCCCGAGCACTTGTCACATGCATCCAACCTGGGCTGGTGATCTGTTTCCCCCTAGATAATATACATGTGATGTTTCGAGAGAACAGCATTGAAACATCTTACTCATCTTTATAGTTTGCCATAATCTTGCCACCACGTGACATGTTATATATGCATTGTTTCATTCATTTATTGACTGTTCTTCCCCACTACACACACACACATGCACACGCATACACCACACACCTCCTTGATCTCAAATCCACCCCACCTAGAACAGAACATATAGTAAGAACTCAAAAAGGATTTCCCAAGTGAGCAATACCTCTGCTTACGCTGTTCCTCTACTGGTCTGGCTTCAGAACTTCACTTCTAAGCTCTGGTTCCCTCAAATGTAGCTTTCTATTATCCCACCAACCCCAACCTGCCCTTTACTGAAGAGCAGATATTTGTTTTTGCATCAGTTTTACCGTACACAGTCCTCTAGACTGGAGGTGGGGTTTAGAGACAACAGCAAGGCAGCCTGTTATTGGAGATGGGAGGTCAGGGCAAGAAGAGACCCTGCCCTGAGCTCTGGAGGGGTGGCAGTTTACCAGGATTCTGGCCCTGGAGCCAGGAGATGGAGAGAATAAATAAATATAGAAAGAAGGGATAGAGAGGAGGGAATAAAGAGAAGGGTACAGAGAGAAGAAAGGATAGAGGGAGTGAGCTTGAGCTCTAGCTTGGAAAGAAGATACAAGAAACTGATAGCATTTATGGCCTCCACAGAAAACAACAGAGTAGGGACTTCTCTGATGTTCTACTGATTAAGACTTTGCTTTTCAATGCAGGTGTGAGTTTCATCCCTGGCTGGGGAACTAAGATCCCATGTGTTGCTGCCAGAAAACCAAATCATAAAACAGAAGCAATATGGTAACAAATAAAGATTTTTTTTTTTAAGGAATTCTTAAAGAAAAAAGGAACAGAGTAGCTGGGGGTGGAGGAAGAGTGTCAAGGGTGAACGATGTTTCACTGTGTATTCTTTTCTTTTTTTGGAGTATATTTGCTTTAGAATGTTGAGTTAGTTTCTGCCTTACCAGGGAGTAAATCAGCTATATGTATATATATATCACCTCCCTCTCCCCTCATCCCACCCATCTAGGCCACAGTTGGGCTGTTATTTGCTCTGAGGCATGTGGGATCTTCCTGGGTTAGGGATCCAACCCTGGTCTCCTGCACTGGCATGCAGATTCTTTACCACTGAGCCACCAGGGAAGCCTGGTTATTCATTTTAAAGAAGATGTGGGACATACATTGTATATCCTTATTTTACTTTTTGAACTGTGATCCATGTGTTATTTCTACAAAATAACAGCTTGATTAAAACAAAAACAAAAACCTACAACAAAGCACCCTGACTTTGTTACCTTCTTTCTGTGTGGCCCCAAGGAAGTAACTTGGCGGAGACCTGGCTGTAACACAGGCTCAGTAGTTGAGACCCAGGAGCTTAGTCGCTCCATGGCATGTGGGATCCTCCCAGATGAGAGATCTAACCCAGGTCTCCTGCATTGCAGGCAGATTCTTTACCATTGAGCCACCAAGGAAGCCTTATCACAATCTGAGGGCTATTTGGGGGATCCAGGAGATCTCACAGGCGAATCTCCCAGCCCTGCATCAGGCACACAGTACCTGCTGCTGTTGTCAGAACTCCCAGCAACTCTGGAGGGATTCCAGCATCTCTCTGAGCCCCAGTTCTCTCCTCCATGACCCTGGGAGAATACCCTGCAACTGCACAGGGCTGGTGGGCGGATTAACTGGGGAAGGGCCTCGGCACACAGAGCCCTGAGTTACCATCACTGTGTCACCTGTCACAGCTCATCTCTTCTGGGACTCTGCCTGGACGATCTGGTGGCCACGCCCACTCCCCCGCCTCCCCAGCCCACGGTTGCAGGCAGGAATGGAATGTGCCCGAATAATAAGAACAGAGGCCACAGGCCCGCCAGTGCTGGAAGCAGTCACTTTATTGGTTGGAAAAAGAAGCAGCTGTGGTCAGCTCAGGATGGAGGGAAGAGGCCAGGGAGGAGGGCAGCTGGGCTGGAGCCAGACAGGGCCAGGCAGACATTGCTGCTCCCTCAGTCCACAGGCTGCGGTGGCTGGAGCTGGAGGAAGAAAATCATAACAATACCATCAACAACAATACCGGGGACACCAGACAAGAGCGCTTGCAGCTTAAATTCTGATCCAAAGCTCCTCCCACTCCATCACATTCCCCGCTACCTTCCTAGCCCCTGACCCCCAGCAAAGCCTCATTTTCTCAAGGCCTTGGGGCTCTGCCGGCATTTTTCCAGAGGTCCTAGACTCACCTCTTCTGCTCTGACCTTCCCTGGATACACCGGGGTATACCATGGTCCCCACGGACCACTGTGACCATTCATGAGGGATCACTGTCATTTACCTCTCTAAGAATCCTTCCACCACTAGGAAGTTGCACTATGCCCCCATTCCTTCGGTTAAGCTGAGTTAACTGATCAAAAAGTTCTTATATATCCCATTTTATAAACAAAATATTTGCAGTTCAGGGAGGTGAAAAAGGCTAGTTAATTGTCAGAGGCTGAAATCTGAACCTAGGTCTTCCTGACTGCAACGCCAGCCCATGCTCTTGGCACACATGGAGGCAAGAGGCATCGCTGGAGAGCTCCAGGTCCTGGGGAGACCGTGCTTCTCTTTCAGGCACTGAGTTAGCAACCATAGGTCCTTGGGCATGTCCTCCCCTCTCTCTGGGTCTCAGTCTTCACATCTGGGCAATAGGTTCCATCACTGGCCTGCCAGTCTATTAACTGAGAGCTTATCAACAGCAGCGCACAATTAGCAATGAGATTACAACCAGGGGGTCCTTCCGGGGTTCCCTCCATCTGGAACAGCTTCCTTACCACTGTACTTCACCAGACTACCCACCTTGCACTCATCCTTCAGGACTGGCTCAGAACCCTGCTCCCTCCTTCCCCCACCCTCGGGAAGGTGAGGCTTCCTCCTCTGTTCCTACCACACCCAGCCCTGCCCTCCACTGCCGCACTGATTGTAGGCATTGGGAGTGTCTGTCCATCTGTCTGCCTCAGCCACCTGGCTGCAAGCTCGGTGAGGAAGGGCAGCCATCACCTTTTGTTCCAGCACACGGCACAGGGCTGGATCCCTCAGTGGACTGAAGATGCATGTGCCTTGGGTTTTGTTTCTCTTTCTTTTCTTTTTTTTAAAAAAATCTTTATGTATTTATTCACTTGGCTGCACTGGGTCTGAGTTGCAGCATGTGGGATCTAGCTCCTTGACCAGGGATCGAACCCAGGCCTCCTGCATTGGGAGCTCAGACTCTTTGCCACTGGACCAGCAGGGAAGTCCCTCTCTTTACTTCCTTATGCTTGGTTTATGACTTAACATTGTTTTATTTTTAATTATCTGTGGGGAAGGAGAGGCTCCACGATCTTATCTTTAGGCATGGGAACCACTCAAAGCAGGTGAATGTAGTCCTGTCGGCCACAGAGTAATAAGTACACAAGTGAAGGGGAAAAGGAGTAAATCTCACAGCCCAAATAATCAGCAAATATTGTCCCATCCACCTTCACTATGTTGCAAACCCAGCCTCTTAGGTCACCTGGTCCATCACCTCCCACCTGGCCTCTTGCAGGAGCCTCCATGCTGGTCTCCCTGCTTCTGCCACTGCCCCCTCTAGGGTCTCCACACAGGAGCCGGAGCAATCCTTTTAAATCCAAGTCAAGAGCAGGTCCATTTCCAAGGGCCCAACATCTCTGGGTCAAGACCAAAGTCCTGGACTTTCCTGGTGGTCCAGTGGTTAAGAATCTGCCTGCCAATACAGGGAACCTGGGTCCGATCCCTGGTCCAGGAAGATTCCACATGCCACAGAGCAACTAAGCCCGTGTGCTATAACTACTGCCTGCGTGCTGCAATTACGGAAGCCTGCTTGCCTAGAGCCTGGGCTCCGCAACAATAGAAGACACCACAATGAGAAACCGTGCAATGGAACAAACAGTAGCCCCAGCTTGCTGCAACCAGAGAAAGCCTCTGCCTAGCAGTGAAGACCCAGTGCAGTCATAAATAAATAAAATATATTTTAAAAAAGACCGCAGTCCTTACATGGTCTATCAGGTCTCTCCACTACCCAACTGCCTCTCTGACCCTCTCCTCTATTGCCCTCTCTTTGATCATAGGAGGCTTTTCCTGAAACACACCAGGGGTTCTACTGCTTTATATCCGCTGCCCCCACTGGCCATAACAGTCTCTCTGAAAGCTCCCAGTTCCCTTCATCATCTCCAACAAGTTTGTTCAAATGCTGCCTTTTGGAAGGTCCCGTGATAAAACTGCAACACAGCTCCCTGTTGCTCCCCATCCCTACTCCGTATCCTCCTTCTGTTTTCTTTTTCTCCAGGTCACTTATTTCCTGCTAACATTTTGCAGGGAATGAAGGTGTTGAAGGAGCCTGGTGCGCTCAGGTCCATAGAGTCTCAAAGAGACAGACACAACTGAAATGACTTAGCACACATGCATGCACAGTATATAAAACCCATCAGAGAGAAATTTTTGTTGGGTTTGTTTACTCATGGAGCTTCCCAGCACCTAGAGCAGTGCACCACATGTGATAGATGCTCAGTGACTATGTTGAATGGATGAGAACAAACCAAAGGATGGATAAGCAAATAGCACTGTGTTAGCTCAGGGGCTCCTTTTCAGCCTCCTGCAGGGGTTGTCACATCTGGGTATCAATGTATCCCTCCCCCCACCCCAGGGCACCTACCTCAGAAGACAGGGGTGACACAGGACACCTTCCCGCAACCATTGCGGCAGCATTTCAACAGGTCAGGACACTGGCTGTCCACCTGGCACTGGTCCCGGCAGAGGCCGAGCTGGGGGAAGGCGATGTCCACCTTAGGGCAGGAGCCCTTCTTCTCTGGGTAGAAAAAGGAGTAAGAGGTGGTGAGCAGAGCCAAAGCAGACGGCTGCACATGTCTCCACAGCATGTCTGCCCACCTGGATTCACAAACAAGACAGCTGCCTGCCTGAGCGAATCTCTGGGGTCTTGGAAGGTTGTCTGCAACCTTCCTTTCTCCTGTTCTCTCCTCCCAGGGGTTTTGAGATCACTGGACTCCAGTCTGAGTCCCAGCTCTGCCTTCTCCTAACTTTGTGGCCTCAGGATGAAAAGCCCCTAGAGCCCCGTGTCTTCAGGTGTCAGATGAGATCAGCGCTGACCACACCACAAGGTTGTTATGGAAGCAATGGAGGCAACAGACTTCTCCCTGAGAAGTCAACATCCTTTGTAGCAATAATAATGATGATGAGTAAAGGCAGCCGTTAACACTTAGCTCCTTCTAAGTAGCAGGCATTATCTGAAGCTTGTGACATTTATTAACTCATCTAATCTTCGGGGTAATCCTAGAACTGGGGACAAGGAGCTGTAACAATTTCCTCATGTTGCAGATGAGGAAACTGAGTCAACAAGAAGTTAAATAATTTGCTTAAAGTCAAACAGGGTAGAGACAGGATTTGAACCCAGGAACCTGGCTTCAAGTCTGTGCACCATGCATTTTGCTGCTTTACAAAGCTGTAAACCATAGTGCCCATGTAAGGGTGACACACCCACAATGCTTTAACTCCCGTATACTCACTCTTAGTTACAACCAGGTGGAACCAAGGTCCCCTCTACACTCTCACTCTAACACCCAGAGAAGCATTCTTCCACTAGTGCACACACACACACACACACACACACACACACACACAAAACCACAGAGATGTACCAATTACAAAGTCCTTAGTGCAAATCCATTTTGTCCTTTAATTTTCACATCAAACCTCTCTTCTGTAGGGGATAGTTCTTATTACTGTATTCTTGTTATAGAGGAAGAAAATGAAACCCAGAGGGGTGAAGGCATCACCCAACATCACACTGCTGATCAGAAGTAAAACCAAGACTTGGGCTCAGCCTTTCAATGTCCACACACACAGACACACACACACACAGACACACACACAGACACACACCCTGTGCTCCACTCCAAGCTCAAGGAGGAGGGAGCTGGGCTCAGTGCCCAGAAGCCACAGGAGCAAGTCCAGCCAAACGTCAAGCAGGCACAGAGCTGGGTGATGAGCTGAGAGGACACGGGGGGCTGCCTTCCTGCACAGACATCCTTTCCCTGGAGAAGGGCAGGAGCTCTCAATACCGAGCTGCCTCAGGACAGAAGGGCATCAGGAGCCCATGACTCACCAAACAAGCCACTGTGAGTGGAGGTTCTACTCTCTCCTGAGACATCTCACGTGTATCATTTCATTTAGCCTCATATCAGTCCTACAACATCTGAGATTATCATTCCATTGTATAAAGGAGAAAGCAGAGGCTCAGAGAGGGGAAACCATTTGCTCAGGACACACAACCTGCAGATGGTACAACAAAGATTCTGATCCAGGAGACCCTCTGGCCCTGCCCCTCTTCCTGCCTCAGTCTATCCATCTGAGACCAGGGAGGAGCAGAGACTCCCCCAAGCAGAAACTCCTCTTTTCTCCCCACTCCCCTCCCATCTGTCTGTCTTTCTCTCCCAATGTCCTCCTCTCCTGGTTTTCCTGACTTTGGTCCAGGTTAGAGATCCCCAGATCCACAAGCCCCCCTGATGGGTTGTTCCTCCCTCCGGCTCTCACCACCCAGCTCTGACTGAGGTCTCTGATTATAGGCCTTCCTGGCCCCGTGGGCATCTTCAGAGAAATCACAGGGAGGGAGCAACATAAGGACTTTTTCTCTGGGTAAAGACTAGTGATCCCAACACAATGGGATCCTGGCTTCTAGTCCTCAGTTTTTCCCTCTGAAAAATAAGATGTTCAGGGTCCAAGCTGTCTAAGACCCCTTCCTGCTCAGGTAGGAGTCCCTAGGACCTACTGGACAGTCTTGAGCTCCAGCAAGTGCTTTATGTGAAGGGTAAGCTTCACACACTCTCATTCAGTCTTCAGAGCGGAAGAGAGGGTGTTAAGAGGAAGAAGGGGGAGGGTTGCTCAGGATGGGGTCCTGACTTTCTTCAAACCACTCAGACAAAAAAGGGACCCCCTGTGTTATGAATCCTGTCCAGCCAGGGATGGCAGTGTGACCTTGGACAAGAATCTTTCTCTCTTTTTGCAGCTCACATCACATCTTTAAGATGGGCGGAGTGCTCTCCTAAACCTGGAAAGCCTCCATCTGGACAGAGGAATTTGGGAAGTCCGGGCCAGTAGGCATCCCAAAGCCTTCCCCCAGGGCCGGGGAGGCCACAGGAAAGGGGTTCTGGCACGGGATCGAGTTCCAAACCTTGGGACTCAGCCCACTGGACAGCCCTGGGCTGCCCCGCGGCTAAACCCCCTGCCAGGAGGAAGCTTCGACCCGGCGCCCAGATCTCAGGGAACAATGGATGGCCCGGAATCACGTCCTCGCGGTGCGTCCCGGAAGTCCGTCATGAACCAGAGCGATGAATCTGGCTGGGAGTGGGGGACCTCCCTTCCCCTCGGAGGCATGTCAGCGACGCCTCGGTGTCCCCGGGGCCGCAGGAGGGAGAGCACGGGCTGATCCGGTTCCAGCCACTTCGACCTGGTCCTGGACCCCTGGGTCGGTCGCGCTGGTGTGCCCGAAACGGGGCGCTCCCTTCTGCCGCACCTCCGCTGCCCCGCCCCGGCCCGCGCGGGTCCCTCAAGTTACCATTAGGCATCTGGCAGACGGTGGCGCAGCCGGCCTGGCAGCACTTGAGGTTGTCCTTACAGTTCTCATCCGAGACGCAAGCCTTCGTGCAGTTCACGTCACCCTCCAGCTCGGGACACACACCCGGCTTCTCTGCGCCTGCGCCTGGGAGGTGGACGGGCAGTGGGGGACCCGGGCCCGCTCTCAGAGGATGCCCACCTCGTGTCTGACGGCCCCCAATCTCAATCCGCCCCCCACCCCCGAATTCTGAGTCTCTGTTCCTAGGCCCCGCCCTAACAGCCTCCAGAGAGCCCCACCTCCAGGGACGGGGTCCTCCAAGACAGGAGGACCCTTGGCCTCTGAGCCTTCAATTTTTAGGAGACCCCAGCCCAACTGAGCTTCTAGGAGCTTCCGATGTCCCGGCAGAGGGTCCCTGCCACTGGCCATTGCATCTCCAGGATCAGCAAAGAACCTCCCCACCCCCGCCGCCCCCCGCCCCATCCCGGGCATAAGGGTCAGTCTTCAGTGGTCTCCGCGCACCTCCAGCACACTGGACCACACATCTGAAGCTCAAGGGCTATCGCCTTCAGAGCACCAGGGATCCCCACATTTTAGCCTGCAGGGGACTCCCCACTTCCGTCCCGGGGAATCCTCACTGCTCAGAGAGGCTCTAAGCTCCTGCCCCGCTCCGTTCCTGCGCTCCCGGTTCGGCCCCTCTGGGCACCCAGCCTTTCCCCGCCCCACTCACCCGTGACCGGGGGGAGGCCCAGCAGCAGGCCAAGGAGGAGGGCGGCGAGGAGCGGACCGAGGCGGCAGGCAGGCATGGTGCTCGCCAGGGCGGGGTGCGGGAATGAGGCGCCGCCAGCAAGATTTAACTGGGCTCCTGGGGGGCGTGGGGTAGGGGCGGGGCTGAGCCCCTGCGGGTGGAGGGCAGGCGGGCCGACTGCCACCTCCCGTCATTTCACAATCTCCCGGGATCAGGTGTCACTCTGGCCCCAGTGGGAACCAGGAACCTAAGCGGCTTCCTGGCCGGGTGCAGCTGGTCGCACCCGGACCCTTGTCCCCTCCCCGCTCCCCACCTCCCTCTGGGCCCTGGGGGCAGGGCAGCAGGAAGCCAAGGGCTAGACCCAGGACTCCCGGGATCCCATTCCAAGACCCAGGGGTCTCGCTGTGATGCCCACTGCGGTAGGAGAGAGGAGGGCAGGACCCACTGGGAGAGACTGCAGATGAAGTGGCTGGACTCGGGGTCAGCAGATCAGGGTTCGGATCTCCCTTTAGGGATTCGTGGTGGGCCTGCTATGTAGTGATACACAGCACCCAGAAGGAGCTACAGGAAAGCCTACTTATACAGGAACCCACTGGACACAAGACACTGAGGCCAGAGAAGGTGAAACACCTGTTAATGTCTGGAGCCGTTCGGGATGTGTTTCTCCCTCGCTCTCTTTTCCACACAGACACTCAGGTTCACTCACTGTCTGTGCTCAGTGCCTCGTGCAGCCATGGATGGTCCCAGACACCTGTGAACAGAGGGATATTGTCATCGTCAACCGTTTGTGACAGATGAACTGTGCAGGAGGCCCTCCCAACTTCCCACGTCCCAAGTGAAGCTGTAGAGACAAGGTTTGATTCCTAGTCTCCATCTCTCCAAGTCTGTTTTTTTTTCCCGTCCATCATAAATGTATGATTTTGTGACACATCTAGGGCACACAGTTGCCGTAGAGAAAGTAATTAAAGGAACTCTCATCAGTGGCCTCGGGATGACAGAGTCTGGGTTTGACTTCCTTCTCTCCCACTTCCTAGCTGCAGGACCTTAAATGAATCTCTTCTCTGTTCTGAGCGGCCAAGTTGTCATCTCCAGAGATCTGTAAATGGGCAGAGATGGTGTCTCCTGTTTGTAAGGAGACTGATGAGTAGACATCGAGGTTTAACATGCAGGCTGCTGCTGTTAAGTCGTGTCAGTCATGTCCGACTCTGTGTGACCCCATAGACAGCAGCCCACCAGACTCCCCCATCCCTGGGATTCTCCAGGCAAGAACACTGGAGTGGGTTGCCATTTCCTTCTCCAATGCAGGAAAGTGAAAAATGAAAGTGAAGTCACTCAGTCAGGTCCGACTCTTCGTGACCCCATGGACAGCAGCCCACCAGGCTCCTCTGTCCATGGGAGGCTAGTAAATGCCAAAGCACAGTTACCCAGCAAGAAGTACCTTCAAACATCCTTACTGATCTAAATCTGAGCTCAGTAAGCCCCAGGAGGTCTTTGCTGCTGGAGGGTGGAAGGGGTGGAGAGCAGTGGCCATGGGGATGACAGGTGAGCAGGACTTGATGACAGAAATATGTCCAGCCACTGTCCCCACAGATGCCCCGGGGAAAAGAGGCTTCGAATACCTCCCCCACTTCCCATGTCCAGCCTGGGGACTGGAGACAGGTCCTCGTTGGGAGGGGCGAGGGCTGTTTACTCTGAGCACAGAGAATAGTTAACAGTGGCTGGAGTCAGGTGGGGGCTCAGCCCAGGGCGGCTCCTCAGTCTAGGACACGCAGGGGACATGTTGATGGGGAAGCTGGTTTTAGCCTGTGAATCCAGCTGCCTGCTGGACATTAAGCCCCGGGTGGTGCTGCCCACAACTTTCTTCTGGCACCTGGCCAGCTTGCCCACACCAGGAAACTGCCTGGCCTCACCCCTCTCTAGCCCTCTTGGGCTCTCCTGGGGACTGACTCTCTTGACAGGAATGGGGATTAGCCTGAGGCGAGTGGGATGGGGTGGGGCACACAAATGGAGGAGAAAGCGACTGTAGGTCCATGGCCCATGGCATACAAAAGATGTTTAGCTTTTGTGATGTTAGCTTGTGCGCTAGGTGTGTTCATACAGTTTGCTTCTACATACAATCTAAAAAGGGCAGAGGCTAATTCCTATGTGACATAACAGCATCTCACTTTTGGGACCTACATCTTCTTCCTTGAAAGAGGTTATCATGAGGGAATTCCCTGGCTGTCCAGTGGTTAGGACACCGTGCTTTCACTGCTGAGGGCCCAAGTTCAATCCTTAGTCAAGGAACTAAGATCCTACAAACTGTACAGTGAGTGCAAAAGAAGGAGGGTGAAGTGTTTTGTAGGATTATTTTAAGGTTCAAAGGGAAGACTAAGGTCCAAAATTCAGCTTCTCTGTATGCTGGTGCTGAATTGATTCTTAGAGACAGAGTTTTGGATGGAGTAGAAAAGAGCAGCTTTGTTACTTTGCCAGGCAAACGGGGCCACAGCAATCTAATGCTCTCAAAACCATGCATCCCAACTTGGAGAAGACAGTGAGAAGTTTTACAGTGATTGTGCAAAGAGGACATGATCAGCTCATGGATATTCTTCTGATGGGTTGGTGGTGACATAGTAGGAGACAGCATCATCAACTTGAAGGTAAGGCCAATGGGTCTGGGGTCGACATGCTTGTGGGCAGATTACCATCATTAATCGTTCACTTCTCCCACCTGGAAGGGGTTTCAATACCCGCAAAATAGTACAAAAATATTGCTGTATGTATTTGTTAATGGGGAAGCAGAACCTCGCCCCAAGGCTGTTCTTGACTGTTTCTCCCTTGTCTCCCATCCCCTTCCTTCCCTAACTAACAATTGCTTGAATCTGCTGATTGGACCTCAAGGAAGGTCATGGAGGTTGAATGAAGGCTGTTTTCTATAATCAAAGAAATGGGAGACACAGAAAGACCTTGTGCTCAGGAGCCCCACAGGGCCCTGTTCTATATCAACAGCATAAACCAGAGGTTGCAAATCTGGATAGAATATTGTATTGTGAACCCACACAGTATATTTTAAGAGTTTGAATTAGTTGTCAAATTTAAGAGTGAGGAATTTCACATAAAAGTAAAATTCTAATATCAAAATGTTAGTAAAAGGAAATGGTCTGGGAACACAGTGGCAACCGTCAACTAGAACACTGGGCCTCAAACCTGAGCAAGCATCAGGATCACTTAGACCACTTGTTCAAACACAGATTTGAGATCTCTACCTCCAGGGTTTGAGTCAGTAGGACTGGGGAGAAGTCTGAGAATCTGCATCTAAGGGTTTCCAGGGACACTGATGGTGCTATTCAAGGGACCACACTTTGAAAGCCGTGAACTAAGCTAAGGGGGCTGCTCTCTTCTCGGGAGGGGAGTGTTCTCTCCAGTTTCCATAATCCCCACCATTCCTTACTGTCCTCCTGCCTCCACCCCAACTCCAAATACTTCCGTCCCCATTACTCACCTGGCCTGGGGGGCATTTAAAAGTGTGGCTTGTCGAGTGAACTCACAGTAAGTGTTCAGGAAAAGGTAGCTTGTTCTTATTTAACAAGGTTGAAATGGGAGGTGCTATGAGTCAGCTGTAGACTTGCCCACTCTAAGATGACTGTAAACAAATGAACGTCAGACATCTGAGAAATCCCCAGGAAGAAACAGGGTACCTTTAACCAAACAATGGCTCTTTGTCCTCTTGGACCCTTTCAACCTCCCTAACTCAGAGGAAACCTGTCTTTCTGAGTGTATTGGCTATTTTGCTGTTTTGTCACCTAGCATCCTTTTGTCCTTTTTCTGATAACACTAGCCTGATTTTGGACTTGCTTGGTGGTACAGTGGATAAGAATCTGCCTGCCAATGCAGGGGTCATAGGTTCCATCCCTGGTCCTGGAAGATTCCACATGCCATGGAGCTTACTGAGGCCCTCCTGTACTAAGGCCTATGAGTCACAATTACAGAGCCTGTGCCCCACAACAAGAGAGGCCCTGCAATGGGAAGCCTGTGCAATGCAACGAAGAGTAGCCCCACCTCACCGCAGCTAGAGAAAGACTGAGAGCAACAACCAAGACCTAGAACAACCAAAAATAAACAAAGAAATAAATAATTTTTAAAAAGGTAGCCTGATTTTTGTTTGAGGGAACAACCCTTCCTCCACCCCAGATGGGACAGGCAGGTTGAGGGGCTTGTCAATCAGAGTTCTTGATTTTACCCCCCAGACCAAGAGTGGCCAATCAGTTGCTCTCCTTGGAATTTTAATGTTGACAAATGAATGCTTCCTTGGTGGTTTAGAGGGTAAAGAATCTTCTTGCAATGCTGGAGACCTTCGCTCCATCCCTGAGTCAGGAAGATTCTCTGCAGAAGGGACTGGCTACCCACTCCAGTATTCTTGCCTGCAGAATTCTATGGACAGAGGAGCCTGGCGGCCTATAGTCCACGCGTTCACAAAGAATTGAACATGACCGAGTGACTAACACTTTCACTTCTTAATGAATGACAAAAATCCTGAAAATGTATGGTATTCATTCAAAAGCAGCCTGAGAAGACCTTGATTTCTCTTGTTTCCCATCCTTTCCAAGCAGAATTCTTTTTAGCATTTCCTTCAACTCCAAGACTGAATTACATCAGCTAGTGCTATTGGTTGCCAACTGATGGATCCAATGGGATGTAACTTAAGGGTACAGTCAGGAAGAGAGAATAGATGCCCTCTATGTCACCACACCATTCTCACCAATTCCTTCTCTTCTTCCAGTAGCCAGAGTCAGTTTCTGTTGCTCACAACCAGGGAGATTTGATGCCCTTACTGGTCAGCAGCAAGTTTCACATTTCCAAATCCAATGGCCTTTTCTCAGGCCTCAGTCCAGTTCGGCTCAGTTGCTCAGTTGCATCTGACTCTTTGCGACCCCATGGACCACAGCACACCAGGCCTCCCTGTCCATCACCAACTCCTGGAGTTTACTCAAACTCATGTCCTTTAAGTTGGTGATGCCATCCAACCATCTCATCCTCTGTCGTCCCCTTCTTCTCCTGCCTTCAATCTTTTCCAGCATC